GACCACAGCATGAGGTGTACCACACCATGGCTTGTGCCGAAATTACCAAAAAACGTACTCGTGGCCAGTTTCCCACGCACAGAAGTGACAAATCAATATTTTCATAGCTTCAAAATGAGCCAAGAGTCAGACTCAATGGCATACACCTGTAATCCTGGCACTTGGGAGGAGGAGGCAGGAGGATCAGAAGCTGAAGAGTTTGGCTGTATTCTTTCTTGAGAGGCTAAGGCAGGAAGAATTATGAGTTTGAGGCCATTCTGTGTTTCTGTGTGAAATTCTGTCTTAGAAAAACTAAAAAAAAAAAATCAGGGCCAGCAAGATGGCACAGTGAATAAAGGCAATTATTGCATAAGCCTGATGGCCTGAGTTTCATCCTCGAGGCTGAGGTAAAGGTGAAAGAACGGAGTGTACCCACCGAGTTACCTTCTGACCTCCACACGTGCCCCACAATCAGACCTCATAAATAATGAATAAATTAAAAAATTTAAAAACTTGAAACCAACAATGAAAAAGAGCCAAACTGACCACTTTAAAATCTCTGTGTTGAAACCCTGTCTCGAAAAAAAACAAAAAAATAAAAAATAAAATAAAATCTCTGTGTTACTATTTTAAATAAGCCACTCAAAGTGGAAAACTTCCAAAGTGGTGGAGAGCAAAAGAACTTAACCAAGAGTGATTTCTTGTACTTCTCAAATAGATCTTGCAAGACAAAAAAAAAAAAAAAAGCAGCTAAACACAAGAAGAAAGGAGAAGCAGACACAGGTGTACACATACATAAGTGTTCATGTCCAGAGAAAGCAAGAATCAGTAAAATCTGGCCCATACTCTGTTTACATAATTAATTTTACTGAAAAAGTCAGGACCCCCCTTACAAAGGCCAGCCTCGTAAAGAAATCACATTACCTGCAAATACTATCTAGCATGTATACTATCTAGTCCTTCACATAAACTTGTAGACCCCAGTATTAAAAATCAGAATCAAATTAGAATTTTTTTTAAGACTATCAGGTTGGGTTAATTCCCAGGGGTTTTGCATATGAATATCCATTCACTGTTGCTGGTGTCAGTCTCTGAGAACACTGTGGATGATTTAACCCTACAGCTGTATCCGCCAATGCTTTAACGCACATTCTCCAACTCAGTCTCACTGATGGAGAGATCCCAGATGCTCAAAAGTGCACTAGTGTGTAAATATGGAGGTCGTCAGTAACGAAAACACATTTCACTGTAAACAAATGGTTACTACATATACCTTACTTAGGACACTAACTCCTAATCTGTACTTCGTAATTTTATGGAATTGTGAAAAAGACCAGGTCTGCATGCTAACACAGCCTTCTAAACTCCATTAAATGAAAAAAACTGTAAAACACGTGTACAATCTCTTGTACGTTTTCTTTTAAAAATCACACATGCTGGGGTTAGTAAGATGTCTCAGTGGTGGTCAGGGATCTGTGTGACTAACATCCATCAGTAACTCCAGTTACAGGGGATGTGACATCCTCCTCTGACCTCTGTGGGCATTGCAGGCATGTGGTGCATACATACATGCAGGCAAAACACTAAAGACATACAATAAATCTTTAAAAGATCTCCTAATCACCTACACTTATAGACAAAACATATGGTTTTGATCAAATGATAGAATAGGTTTAACAGTGACTGTTCCTGGCATTGGTCTGTTTAGGCTGTGAAATAAAATGCTGGTAAACTCCTGCTTGGTCAAAAGCCATCACTTATCACGTGGTAAATGCTCAGGTGATATACACACGTACACAAAGCTACCACCTTTCACACTGTCAATGCCCCAGGTGGTATACACACAGGCACACGTTCGTGCACACACACACACACACACACACACGACTTAAAATAGAACAAGCATACAAAATGATACAAAATGTCTTTGAAAATGTCAAAAGCTGGTTTTAACCACAGGAAACCCAGACAGTAAAACACCTTCCAGAACGATCCATAACAAAGATCTGAACATCAGACTCACCAATCTGGCAGATTGTAAACTGCTGAACACTTTGACGGGTCTTCAGATACCACTCAGATGGCAAGTCAAAAAGACTGTGAAGAAAAAGGCATCTCACTGCATAGGCAAGGGGATGAGAAGCAGGTACCAGGCACCTATTACAGGTGCCTGCAATCAGGGACCTATTATCCCTGTTACCACAATTAGAGAACCTATCAACATTTGGTCAACAAAAGCCACATCTCTCAGCAGGTGGCTGTTGAGAGAAGTCTCAAGCCACCATAAAAATATCCTCCCAGTAAACACCAAAACAAAACAGAAACCAGCCAACAGGAGCCTGTTCAGCAACAATGCTTGTCTGGCAGGGTCTAAGGAGACACCGGTGAAGTAAAAGACAGTACCTGATCTGTTGGGGCCGAGACAAGTTTGAACGCAGACCTGTGAACTCTATGTCCAGACCTACGGGGGCACAAAACAGACAAAAAGTCTTCAGGCACAGAGCAAGCCACCACCTTTCACACGGTAATTGCTCAAGGTGGTAGGCAAATATACACAATAATGGAAAATGAACAGGGTGTGTGGTCCCAGACAGGGCTGTCCGGAGCTGCGGGTTTGATTGCTTCAGCCCTCCTGCCCGAGTGGGAAAGGAAGCCTCCTCTCCTTCCTAGGGTCACTCTCTGAGCGCCTCTGGCCTGGAGACCCATACCGTACACACACACTACACACCAGTTCCCAGGGTGTCCCTCACAGACCCTGCAACCCCGGGTACCTTACCCACGAAGTCCGCACCCGCGACAAGCTCCTGCAGGAGTGGAAGGCTCTGTTCAAATTCGTCGGCGCCCACGTCCATAGCCGCTAGTCCCAGGGCGCGCCGGATGCGGCCACGTGCTGCCCACGCGTTTCCGCTGCGCAGGACCTTAAAGCTCGTGCACGCCTCACACCAAGACCAGAGCCTGGTTGCTGGGAGTTTCGGTGCCGGTGCCCACAGCCTTGATCTTAAAACTTGCTTGGAAAGTGGAGGCTGTTGCCTTCAAGAACTGCTAGCTGTGCTTGAAAGCATCGTTGGTACCGGGGATCAGCTAGTATGGTCTTTAGTCTATAGAAATAAATGCCTGCCTACAGTACCAGTGGCTAGTCTCCACGCTCATGGTCCATGGTCTGATACACCCTTGCAATTCTAGACTCAGTCTCCTAGAGACCTGGGCTCCTAAATGAGATGCTTCAATCCATACTTAACGTGAGGGGGGTGGGGGGAATAGATATATCTTTGTCTCCAGTTGGGTATTTATTGATTAGAGAGTGACTCTTAAACTACTGAATGCTGAATGCCTCGGAATCAATGCTTTAGGAAAACTGACCCATCATGCTTGTCATTTTTCTAAAATAATGAGTTCTTTTTTTTTTAGGTTTTTTGAGACAGGGTTTCTCTGTAGCCCTGGCTGTCCTGGAACTCACTCTGTAGACCAGGCTGGCCTCGAACTCAGAAATCTGTCTGCCTCTGCCTCCCAAGTGCTGGGATTAAAGGTGTGCGCCACCACTGCCAGGCTATGAATTCTCGACTAATATATTTCACCTAAGTAAACCTATTAATTGAGGTACACAGTATTCGGAAACCACTTTGTAAGGAGCAGGCCCTTAAACAGGACCAACTCCATTTTGTAATAGGAAACTTGTAAGACATGTCTGGACATGTCTGGTACTTGTAAAGGCAAGTCTGGAAATGAAGCTGTGCTGAGAGTGGTTATCTGCCATGTACGTCAAGAGTAACTCCAAATTCAGCATAAAAGGAGCCCGTCCAGAGCTCTTCATCACATTTGTAGCCATGACTGGCTAACGTGATCCTCCGAACCAAGCCTCCTCAGCACCCGGTCATCAAAGAGTTAACCGAGAGACCTACACCTTCAACTTCGTGGTCGAGCTCCGCCTCCAGCTTCGTGGTCAAGCACCCTTCGAGGTCAAATTAGCAATTCAACTATCTGGAAGCCACAGCCTGACCCCGCCTTCAAGGGCTGGAACCTGTAACCCAACACCATCAGAAGGACTCAGGTTGTATAATCCATAAATGAATGATGTGCTTATTGCTATGTTTATTTCTTTGATAATTAACAACTTATTATGTGTGTTAATTGTGTATATTGTTAGAGGCAACCTATAGGAAATGTGACAATATCTTGTTGCAGCAATAACCTTAGCATTTGCGTTTGTGTTTGCTTGCTGTGTATTATCATTAAAGAAGTAACTGAATTCCACAAACTCTCTGTCTCTTGGGGTACTCTCTTCCCTCTCGAGGAGCTGATGATCTCACAGTCAAATCCAGTATAGGATCCCTGAGCAGGACCTGGCGCTCCTCTCCCCGCGGGGGATTCAAACCCCTTGCTGGTAATAGATGAGTCCCTGCTCAAGACAGGCTTGAAGCCACTTTACCTGTCTTTTTCATATTTTAGCAACTTTCAGAGCTGTGTCCTGATCTCCCCAAGCTCCAGCCTAAGCCATCTTGCATGAAAATTTAACACATACTTGTTTTATGTATATTTTTCTGGCATGTGTGTGTACATGTTCACAGTACCCTGTAGAGGCCAGACATGGGTGTTGGGTTTCCCAGAACTGTAGCACTGGCTGTGAGCTGCTATCTGGGTCATGAATACCTAACCCATGTGCTCCCCGAGAGCAGTGGGTGCTCCTGACCACATTAAGCCATGGCCCCAGCCCCTTGTAACATGACTACCTATAAAGCATTTTCTACAGCCACATTGGAATTCTCACTTAAAGGCTAAGTGACCACTCACTACCCATCATTCCCACCTCCCATTGGCCGCTCCCCACACTCATTTCGTCTCTTAAGATTTGCCTGAAATCACTAGGGGGTGAGTGCAGGAAGGCTAGAAGGCATTTGTGGTGTATCTCCACATACTATTTCTGAGTTTACAATTGCACTGACATTAAAAACAAAACAAACCCAGTCCACATACTGGGCAAAACTATAGCCACAGGGTGTTTACAGACAGCAATACAGTAAGGGTTCAGTTTGTTATAAATGCTTTAATTCGTTTTCCAAATAGTGACTACTTTCCTTAAATACATCTCACGTCCAAGAATGGAGACAAATTAAGCCCATGTTCAAAGCATGAAACCACACAAGCATACATACAAGTGGAAAGAAGCTAACTTTAAGTTTTCACTATTGCATTATTGCTATGAAGCTTTCAGTCTGGTTCTCCTTCCAAATGCTTCTTTCTCCTTCCTTCCTTCCTTCCTTTCTCTCTTTCTTTCTTTTTTTAATGAAGATGCTTTCTTTTGGTGGCTGTAGATGGTAGTTTTACATTTATACTTCCAACAACAATTAATGCTTCTATTTCATTCATAGATTCTCCGAGGCTCCCGAAGCATCACACCACTTTCTGTCATGGCATTTTGTAAACGTTTTATCTTGTTTGGAGATCAGGGAGAGGAAAAAAAAAAAGAAAGAAAGAAAGAAAACACTGTTAGCAACCAGAAAAAATCCTTAGAACTGGTTTGTTTTCCAAGAGACAAAGAAACCACTGACTTCATCTTGTTGACCTCCCAGGGTATATTTGTGTTCTCTAAGTGACTTTAAGAACATAGATGTTGCCGGGCAGTGGTGGCTAGCCTGGTCTACAGAGTGAGTTCGAGGACAGCCAGGGCTGCACAGAGAAACCCTGTCTCAAAAAACAAAAAACAAAAACAAAAAACAAAAACAAAAAACAAAAAAAAGAACATAGATGTTGGAGTAAAGGTGCAGAAACTGGGAAGTGGCCATCAATGACTGGTACAGCAGAGACCCACACCTTGAGAGGAAACCCAACCCTGACACCACCTGGAGGGCCCGGAACCAGAGGCTAGATAGACCCGAGACCTAGGATACAACCAAACAGGGCCGGCAATAAATAAATAAATAAATAAATCAACAAAATGAATCCTAATAATACTCTACTATATTCAGACAAGAGCCTAGCGTAGTTGCCATCAGAGGTTTCATCCAACAACTGATGGAGGCAGATGTAGAGACCCACAGCCAAACATTAGGTAGAGCTTGGGGAATCCTGCAGAAAAGGGGGTGGGGAAAGACTGACTGTAGGGACCAGAGAAATAAAGGACCCAAGAAAACCCACAGAATCAACTATCCTGGGCTCAGAGGAGCTCACAGAGACTGAACTGACATCAAGGAACCTACATAGAACTGACTAGGCCCTCAGCACTGTTATGGTCGTATAGCTTGGTCCTCTTGTGGGACTCCTGACAGTGAGAGCAAGGCTGTCTCTCTGTTGCCTGCTTTTGGAACCCTTTTCCTCCTACTACTGGGTTGCCTCATCCAGCCTTAGTAAGAGGGGAGGTGCCTAGTCTTACTGCAAATTGATATGCCAATGCTTGGTTGATATCCCTGGGAGGCCTGCCTTTTTCTGAGGAGAAATAAAAGAGGAATGGATAAGGGGGTAGGGTTGGGCTGAGAGGAGAGGAGAGAGGGGAAACTGCCATCATGTAATATATGAAATAAAAAAAAATAAGATATATAAGAAAAAGGAGGGAGATATCAGGGACCAACATATTCAACTATAAGATGCCAGTATCACAACAGGAAGAGCAGTGCTCACATCCGAGACAACAGGGTCTCAGTCACCCAGCGATACTGACTTGCAGTAACGACTGACCTCAGTTTGTACAGAGAATGAGAACATAAGCTCCTATGGACAACTGCAAAAACCAAATGTCACAGGAATCACACAGAATACTCTCAGAAAATACTGTAAGCATACCTAACATCAAGAACTAACCAAAGCCCTCTGCTGTCTCTGTGTGTTGCTAGAGATTGCACACGCAAGGCAGCGCTCTCAGAGCTGCGTCCCAACTCTGGACCTATGACGGAAGGAACATAGCCTCCAGCATGCTTTACCAGTGACTTACAGTTCTGGCCTTCCCACTTAAAATTCTGAGATAAGGGCTTACAAAGTTACTCAGGCAAGCCTTGAACTTGAGATTCTTCCAAGTCAACCTCTTGACAGCTGGAATCATAGACCTGTGTGACCATAAAACAACTGTTTTTTTTTTTTCTTGAAACAGGGTCTCACTATATATCCCCGACTAGATGAAACTTGCTTGGTAGACCAGGTTGGCCCTAAACTCAAGAAGTCTGCTTCTGCTTCTACTACACCACACCAAATTTGTGTTTCTTTTCTGTTTTCTTTTTTTTTTTGTTTCTTGAGACAGGGTTTCTTTGTATAGCCCTGACATTCCTGGAACTCGCTCTGTAGACCAAGCTGACCTTGACCGTGGAGATCTCCCTCTGAGACCAAGCTGGCCTCTGGGACCTCCTGAATACTGGAATTAAAGGCATGTACCACCACTCCTAGCCAAATGTTTACCTTTTAAGTAAATACATAAAAATAAAAATACCGAGTCCGAGGACGCCTCCCACGGTGTGGGCTGGTAGACCATGAAGTTGATTCCTGCTTCTAAGCACCGCTGTGCCAGCACTCTCCCCACGCTCTCACAAGCCACCACATTTCTGGTACTATAAAGGTGTTTCTTAATAGCCCACTCACGAGTGGTTGCTGAAACCACAACCTGGCCGTTAAGATGCTCAACAAATGCTTCTACATGATGCTGAGTCTTTACAACTCGCAACCTAAATGGGGAGAAAAGAGAATAAATCGTAAAAACAATCTATTTACCAAAGTTAAATTACTTAAGGTGAAAAAAAGCCTACATGTTCGTCAAGAATTCAGTGAGTACACTGTTAAAACAGTTCAGTGGGTAAAGGTGCTTCCTACCAAGGCCAACAAACTGCATTCAATCCCCAGGACTTAAAAGGTGGGACATGATGTAAGTGTATGTGGTATATGCATGAACCTGTGAGCGTATGCGCATACCAATAAATTGAAAAAACATAAACAAAAGCAGAAAAATCCCACTCTAACGACAATACTCACCAAGATAGCCACAGATAACACTGAGTACAGTAATAATCTAAGGCCGGGGCTCCAAGGTTACATTACAAACATGTGAAAACTAGCTCTGGCATTGACTTGTCATGTCTCCCTCAGTTTCAATTCCTCTATCTCTTTAAAGTGGAGAGAACTGCTACACCTGCTTCATAACATAGTTTAAATAGTTGAATTTAAAAAAGCAACAACACTGGGGGTTGGAGAGATGGCTCAGTGGTTAAGAGCACTGACTGCTCTTCCAGAGGTCCTGAGTTCTATTCCCTGAAACCACATGGTGGTTCACAACCATCTGTAATGGGATCTGATGCCCTCTTCTGGTGTGTCTGAAGACAGCTGCAGTGTACTCATATGCATAAAATAAATAAATCTAAAACAAAAAAAACAAAAAAACTCGCACAAACATTCAAGGCAACTAGCATAACTGCTGGTTAAAACAAAGTTTTCAGTTAATAGCTGTCTTGGGGCTGGGGAGTACAGTTTAGAGGCAGAACACTTGCTTTGTGTGCTAAAGGTCCTGGTCTAACCCATGCAGTTCTCCCAAAATAAAACTTAACACTTACTTTCATGTGTCTGAGTATTTTGGGGGAACTTATGTCTCTGCACCCCCAAGGTCAGAAGAGGGTGTCAGATCCTTGGGAACTGGAATCAAAGACAGTTGTGAGCCGCCTGGGTCCTCAGGGAGCTCGGTAAGTGCTTTAAACTGAATACAAATTTTTTAAACGTATCTTGTTTCTATTAACAGACTTCAACTTTTATTCCCCACCTTAAAAAAATCATTATGGCTCAAACTTTATTCTCTATCGTTTACCCTAACGTGTAAGCTAATAACTAATGCTACTTACCACTCTATTCTCGTAACATTTTACTCACGTCTTTAGGTACTGAACTCAAGGTACACAGGCCTGTCAGTTCCTCAATCCCAGCCTTCTATCCTCTGCTAGAACGTCCTTCACGGTAAATGATTCACGGTTTTCTGTCCTTTAGATCTCAGCTTTTTGACATGTCACCTTCAGAGGGGCATCAGTACACAGTCTCTTAATCTTATTACCTTTTAAGTTTTCTTCAGAACAACTATTAGTTGCTTGCTCCAAGGTCGTTTCCTACTCATATGTCATCTTCCTGACACAACCTGAGGCTTATCTGGCAGGGTCAGTTAGGGACTGATGAAACTGACGCGTAAGGTGCTATGCACAGCTTTGTCAGTCGGTCATAAGCCGACTTTAATTACCTGTGCCAGAACTCACGGCTGGGCCACACTGTAGCCCAGCCCCGTTCTTTCCGGGCTACACCTAAGAGCTCCAGATTCCGAGGGTTTCTGTTGGTGAACTCTGGAGCCACCGCTTCGTTTTCCTTAGTCTCCACGTCTGGCTGCACCGCCGGGGTGGAACTGGTGGAGAGGGCTGCGAACCCACACTCTAGGAAATGCAAACGATCACATGCATCTTTTAAAATGACTACTACAGGCACGGGAAGGGGATGCTCTTACCATTCCCATCGCAAGGCCCAGAAGCGGGAGAAATGGCTGTCTGACCACAGGTTAGCACTACAGACCCATAGCATTCTACTGTCAACCCGATTCGGGAGGTGCATTCCACATCAGGGACAAAATCAGATTTGCAAATGTACGTGTACTGTGTACAAAGAGCGCAGGGAAGGAGGTGGGGCGAGATTAGTTACCCAGGTTCCTGCAAACTGACAGACATTTCCAGAACCGCGGCTGAAGCGCCATCTCTGACGCGACGTGGGCAAAGCTTCACAGTGCTCTGCCTTCCTTGCTCACGGCCGTCTCGGTGAATAACCACTCGCAGCCATGTTAACTGTGGGAAAAGCTACAGGAGCGGGCTGTACCTCAGTGGCTCCAGGACCCGGAACTAATAAGCTCCCTAGTGCTGAGTGGCCGAGTGAGCGATCGGTATCTCTGGTCTACCAATCACCGCAGACGTTGAGGTGGGAGGCGGGACACGCTAGCCGTGGCCAAGATCCTGACTTCCGTTTTCCACTTTCGCGCCTTTCTTCCACAGTTTCTAACTGATCAGAAAGTCAGAGACCCAGCTCCTGGCTGCCCCCTACTTCCGGCGTTTTCTTTTTCTTCTTTTTTCTTTTCTTTTCCTTTTTCTTTTCTTTTTTTTGGGGGGGGGGGGTCGGCCCCTCTACACACCTCTTTCCCACCATCCCTTGCGGTTGTTGGAGCGCGGAGAGCGGGCGGGGCGTGTTACCCAGCAGGCTCCGCGGCGTCGTTCGGGCCTCTCCACGCCGTGGTCCCCACCGTGGTGGCCGCTGTCCCGTTTCAGAGCGGACCTATCGGTTGTCTGCGGCGGTAGTGAGATTTGCTTCGTTTCCTGAAGATGGAGGGCCCTTTGTCCGTGTTCGGGGACCGCAGCACTGGGGAGGCGATCCGCTCCCAGAACGGTATGGGCGAGAGAATCTTGGGTCCGGCTCGGCGGTGGCGCAGACCGAGGCCCAGCCGCGGTCGGTAGGCCAGGGCTGCTCACTTGGCACAGTGAATTTCCCTCAGAAGTCAGACCACCCCGGATCTGCCCTCCCTGGCGGGCCTGTTCGGCGCCATTGCGTCCTACCGTGTAAGGGAAGAATGTTCGAGAATTCAGCACATGTGGGGGAGGAGGCTCAGGATGGGTGTGGGCGTCCATGCCCCAATACATACTAGAGGAGCCCCAGACATACATGCCTACCACTCCCCACGGCCCCTTTGTTGGGGTTCCAGCCCGGTTGAAGCATCCCTGACATAACCAGAAAAGAATAGCTTTCACCGGTTCATTTGCCCATGAGAAAACGCTCGTCGTCGAATTTAAGTGGCTTTTGCGTTGCTTCCCGTCGCTGGTCGTGTTCTTTGATGTCCAAAATCTGCAGTTGACAGCTGCTCCCCCGGTAAAACTTAACGGGATGCAAATTGAGCGTTTCTAAGCGACACTTAGCTGCCTGTATCGTGGTTAACGTTAATACGAATTAGCACGTGGCTGGCTGTGGTTGAACCTGTTCTTGACTGTTCTTGAAAACATTGGCTTGTAGGTACTGTGTTTCGTGTTGCGCTGCTGCTGCTGCTGCTGCTGCTTTTTTTTTTTTTAAACAGGTCTCTTAGAAATTACTAGTACTTTACCCGGGGGGACTATCTAATATTCTTTTTAAAAACTTGCTGGAGTCTGAAGGAAAAGGCTGAGCTGTACCTTAAAGGGTTTTTTTTTTCCTAGTGTAGTAACAAGGATTGCTCATGTTTTGAGGCATTAAAGTCTTTACAACAGTTGACACACCAATACTCGATATAAAAACCTTCACTAGTCCCTACGTAAGGATGTTTTTTAAAAAAATAGTAGTTACAGACTTGTAGATTTGAGCAAATCCTAGGTGGTTGAGTGTCTTGGTTATGCATTGTTCTATTTATTTTTCACTGTTCTTCTGCAGTTATGGCTGCCGCTTCTATTGCCAACATCGTTAAAAGTTCTCTTGGGCCAGTTGGCTTGGATAAAATGTTGGTGGATGATATTGGTGTAAGTATATCTGATTGTTCTTGGTTGCCTTGATAAAAATAATTTTTTAAAATTTCAAAAAAAAAATTTCTGTGAAGTCTTTGTTTTTACCTAAGTATAGCATCATGGAGGTTGGCTTCTGTGCTGACTACTTGTTCCTTCATATTTCTCAGGATGTAACCATTACTAATGACGGTGCCACCATCCTGAAGTTACTGGAGGTAGAACACCCTGCAGCCAAAGTTCTGTGTGAGCTGGCTGACCTGCAGGACAAAGAAGTTGGAGATGGAACTACCTCAGTGGTGAGATGCTACCATGAAATGGCTAGAGATGGTCAATGTATTAGATTTGAATCCATGAGAGAATCATATATTCTAGGTCATAAGTAAGTCACCTTTTAAGGCAGTCTCACGAACATTTGAAGATGAACCATTGTTAACTACTTTGTCCAATTTAAGTAGGGAAAGAACTTAAGGTGACTAAATACTGGAGTCTTGTGAATTTGGGGGCTTATTTTAACCCCTTACCATAATGATGTTCACATGTAGAAAATGTTACCAGGTTTAGGTTTGAGTGATACTTTTGAATTTTAAAGGTGAACAGGAAATCTTAAGAATTGAAAGTAGAAGTTTGCGGAAGTTAATTTGCTACTGCACAGTGCTAATAGCTAGTCTGCAAACATGGCTAGTAGCATAACATTTTGTGAGTTAACCAGCTTAGTAGTATAATACTGTTCGGTGAGGAAGATTTTAGGCCTGGCAAAACACAGTGTTCTCTATTTTAAATGATTTTAAGATTTAATTGAATCCACTGGAATGGTACAAATCATTTCGATTGATTCCTATCTAGCTTTTGTTGCACTAGATCTCTAAATGTAATGGATATAAATTTTGCTGTATTAGATTTTTAGCATTATCTGGCTGTTAAAATTGCTTAGGCCATTTGCACAGAATATATAGTGGTCTCCTTTATGTTTTTAGCAAGTTGCTACTCACTTGTCTATCATGGCTATTCTGGTTAATAATGCTACTTACATCATAGCTGGGTATGGCCACATGCGCCTTTAATCCCAGCACTTGGAAGGCAAAAACAAGAGAATCTCTGAATTTAAGACCAGCCAGGGGTGTCTCAAACTAAAAAATGAAGTGAAAATGTAAAGTTAATAATGCTGGGTCATGTTAATGTTTTCCTATATACATTGTACATATTGAGTGCCGTGTATATTAAAAGCAATTCTTGATCAACAGGTAATCATTGCAGCAGAACTTCTGAAAAATGCAGATGAGCTAGTCAAACAGAAAATTCATCCAACATCAGTTATTAGTGGCTATCGTCTTGCCTGCAAGTAAGAAAATTGCATTCAAAGAACATGTTATTTTGTGTAATGGTAGTAAACTATATCTTAATGCTTTAATTAATCATTGAGTTGGAAATACTGTAACTTAGCATTCAAGTGGTACTATTTGAGTACTGAACTCAGTGCACTTTTTTTCCCATTTGACTACCACATTTTCTCCTAATAGAGCTTAGTGGCTATGCTTATGGGATAGATCAAAGGTGCCATGATCTGAAGAGGGGGGGCTGTTCCGTGTCTTTCCTCTATATGAAATGGCTGAACAGAAAACCATCCCCTGTGACATTTGATAGTGTCTAAAATGTGGTGAAACACAAAACTTTTGAGTGGCATGTTTCTATTTTTCTTTTCCACACTCTTAACAGGGAAGCCGTGCGTTATATCAATGAAAACCTAATTATTAACACAGACGAACTTGGAAGAGACTGTCTGATCAATGCTGCTAAGACATCCATGTCTTCCAAAATTATTGGAATGTATCCTTAAATGTTTTAGTGGAGTTTGACCCTTACCCCTTTTGCTCTTTAAAATGACTCTCGAAAAACCAAAAAAAAAGAAAAGAAAATTTTAAAGAATGGGTAGAAGAGTTTTCACCCAGAGAAAGGGCCATTGGATTCGTGAACTTCTTCCTGGAAAGGTTGGAACATACTGATTTGACCCCCTGACATTCTACAATGAAATTTAAAATGCCCGTTTGTTGCAAATTGATCTTGTAGAGAGAAGCAACTGATCCTGCTGCTGACTTTCCACCATTCCTATGGTAAAAACTGCATTTGAATGCAGGTGGTGGTGGTGCGTACTCACAAGTCACTTTGATTATAGTAATAGTACTTTTCTTCATTGGTGAATTACTTTGCTAAAAGAAAGTCTAGTTGAGTGGCTTTTTGGTCTCTGGGCCTTTTGTTCTGTTGTTTCAGCTGCCCTTAACGGTTGTCTCAGAAATGGCGATTTTTTTGCTAATATGGTAGTAGATGCGGTGCTTGCTGTTAAATACACAGATTTGAGAGGCCAGCCTCGCTATCCAGTCAATGCTGTTAATATTCTGAAAGCCCACGGGAGGAGTCAGATAGAAAGCATGCTGATCAATGGCTATGCACTCAACTGTGTGGTTGGATCCCAGGGTAAGTGAGTGTGCTGCAAATCAGAGCCCTCTGCAAATAAAGCTCTCTGTGCTTTATATACCATGCTCTTAATAAGTTCAAAATGGTGTCATAGGTGCTGGGCTGGTGGCTCACTCATTTGATTCTGGCATTAAGGTATGAGAGGCAGGCAGGTCTCTGAATTCAGGCCAGCCTTGTCTGTTTAGCAAAACCCTGCATTTAAAAAGAAAAGAAAAAAGTGGTGGGCGTAAATTAAAAGAAATTATGTGCACTTGGAACCAAAACTAAGGTTTAGTGTAATTAACTGACCTTTTATTCATTTATAGGCATGCCCAAGAGAATAGTTAATGCAAAAATCGCTTGTCTTGACTTCAGCCTCCAGAAAACCAAGATGAAGCTTGGTGTGCAGGTGGTTATCACAGACCCTGAGAAGCTGGACCAGATCAGACAGAGGTGCGTGCAGAAGCTGTGCTTTAAATGTCTAATGTTTAGATGTCTAAAACAGGTGGATGGGGTCATTGAAAACCAAGAACTGGGCTGGCGAGAGGCTTAGCAGTTAAGAGCACTGACTGCTCTTCCAAAGGTACTAAATTCAATTCCCAGCAGCCAAATTTGTAAAGGGATCTGATGGCCTCTTCTGATGTATCTGAAGACAGCAACAATGTACTCGTATATATAAAATAACTAAATCTTTTTTTTAAAAATTGTGGTCAATGTGGGCATCATGGTGTAGCCTTGTGTCACAAACAACAAAACTGATGTCAAATAAGCACCCAAAGTCTGTTGTTTATTGTCAGCTGTTAGATACTGTATATGACTGCTATAGTTTTCTCCTAAGACTGTTTGTGCTATGCCACTGTGACACAATAGTACACAGTGCTGACTGTGGCTGCAGTGACATCACCCCAGCAGACAGTTTTTACTCCATTTTACTGTCAGGGAATTGCTATTGTATAATTGACCTATTACTGACCAATATGTCTGTTATGTACATGTAACATAGTTAAATGTTTGCTTAAATAATTGACTTTTACTCTGTCTCATATTTGGGTATGATTTACATAGTACATGTGACTGCCTCTTGATTTATTATAAATGTCCACAAATGGGCCTGGCTGTGGTGGCACATACCTTTAGTCCAGAGAGACAGAGGCGGGTCATCTCTGTGAGTTTGAGGCCAGCCCAGCTTCAGGAGTCCTTTGCTGTTCTGTCCTTGATATATTCTGTACCTCTGGTTTCTGTCTCTGAAGTCTTTCATCCTTCTAGTCATTCTGATTTTAACAACATAGACTCATTTGAAAGAAACAGATTTTGACAAGTCATAGCCTTGTCTCAGAACATAAGCCTCTTTGTCATCTATTCTTTAATATATACCCTTGTATATCTCAATATTCTTCATTTCATGGTCTTACATAACTTCTATTGGTTCAACTCTAAACTATTTTCTTATCCCACTATGTGGGGCTGGATTACTTATATTTGTCTTGGCTTCATACAGCCTTAGTAATGCTATCTTGGGATTGTTAATCTCTACTACAACTTTGAGGTAGGAGACAGTGCAAGGGAGTATCTTTTTTAAAACTGCCCTTAGTTAGGAACTCAAATAGTAGAAAGAGCAAATGTTATTTTCTTTTTGGTTTTTTGAGACAGGATTTCTCTGTGTAGCCCTGGAACTCACTCTGTAGACCAGGCTGGCTTCGAACTCAGAAATCCACCTGCCTCTGCCTCCCAAGTGCTGGGATTAAAGGCGTGCGCCACCACTGCTGGGTGAAATGTTATCTTCAAGTCCTTGAAATTTACATAAATTTGATTGATTTAATCTCTGGGTTTAATGGGAAAAAAGAGTTAATATAGGTTCATGTATAACCAGTGAAAGTTACCGTTCCATTGTTTAAAAAACTGAAGTTGCTAATTTTGGTTTATTGAAACATTCTCTGTAGAGAATCAGATATCACCAAGGAGAGAATTCAGAAGATCCTGGCAACTGGTGCTAATGTTATTCTAACTACTGGTGGGATTGATGATATGTGTCTGAAGTATTTTGTGGAAGCCGGTGCCATGGCCGTTAGAAGAGTTTTAAAAAGAGACCTCAAGCGTATTGCAAAAGCTTCTGGAGGTATGGTATGTCTTTTCCTAACCTGAGACAGACAACTTCTCAGTAATATATGTCACTGGGTCAAAAGTTTTTAGATTAAAGTATTGCCACTACATTTCAAAAATATTTTTTTTCTCTTTGTTGTGCTCTAATAGGTTTATAGAGCCATTTTCTAGGTGACAGGAAATGGGACAGGTCTTTAATATACTGAATTTGTTGGAAATGAATAAACTAAGGTTTTACCTTGAAAGTGGCAGTTTTGTCTTGGGTTATGGTAGTGGCTTGTCTGGAACCTTAAAATAATGCACTGCCTTTCCGTATACTAAAACTAAGAGGGAGAAATGTGTCTTATGACTCTCTTATATAGCAAGCATCCTGTCTACACTGGCCAATTTGGAAGGTGAAGAAACTTTTGAAGCAACAATGTTGGGACAAGCTGAAGAGGTCGTACAGGAGAGAATTTGTGATGATGAACTGATCTTAATCAAAAAGTAAGAACTGCTTTGTAAGTAATAAAGCAGTGGAAATTGTGTTGTAAAAAGAATTCTTTCCCATTAATTTGCTGCTCTAGTCTGTTAGTGATAGGAGCGGTTATACGCATGGGATAAAGCAATATTGGACATTGTACATGGAGATGAAGTGTGTTTTGTCTCTTGTACATGGTCTAGACATTGTTCTTGGTGCCTTATAGCTAAATGTCTTGTGAGTGGGATTTAGTCACGGGTGTGTGTAGTTAATGTTCACTAATTATAAATGCTAATACTTCACGTTTTTTGTAGTACTAAGGCTCGTACATCTGCCTCAATTATCTTACGAGGAGCAAATGATTTCATGTGTGACGAAATGGAGCGCTCTTTGCATGACGCTCTTTGTGTGGTGAAGAGAGTTTTGGAGTCAAAGTCTGTGGTCCCAGGTGGAGGCGCTGTAGAAGCTGCCCTGTCCATATACCTTGAGAACTATGCAACGAGTATGGTAAGACTGGCTTCAGAAGGCATAGCAGTTGGGGTTGGGTTTACCTCATACCCTGTCAGAGACCTGCTGTATCCTTTGTTTCCTTTCATGAACACACCTCATGTGTTTTTCCTTAGGGATCACGGGAACAGCTTGCTATTGCAGAGTTTGCAAGATCTCTGCTTGTCATTCCTAATACACTGGCAGTGAATGCTGCCCAAGACTCCACTGACCTGGTTGCCAAGTTAAGAGCTTTTCACAATGAGGCTCAAGTTAACCCAGAACGTAAAAATCTGAAGTGGTAAGTATATGGTTTCCTTGTGTTCTGTTGTCAACTATTCTAAGTTTATCACAGTACCTTTGTCCCTCCCTCCACCTTTGAGAAATACATACTTTGGGACTTGTCACATACTGAAACATCACGGGCATCATTGTTGCTTGATAACCTGTCTATGTAATAGTGCCTGCTAATTTTTAGTGTTGTGTCATAGGTGTCGATTCTGGGCCCCATTGTGACTCCCTGAGTAGTCTACAGGAAGGGCCAAGAGGATGATCCTGGGGTAGGCTTACTTATTTTAGGCAGCTCTGAGCTTAGAGTGATACAGTCTCAATATTACATCCTTGGACACTCTGATCCTTATAAGGATATCATAAAGCATATCTACACCAACCAGAACAGCTGTGTTGTCACTAAACAAAAGAGTCTTTGGCCACCAAACTGTGCACAACTGGACATATAACATCCAACTTGTGACTGTTTGCTCAGTGTTTGATAGATGAGGTTTCTCTGCTACACTCTCAGCTATTCTACTCCAGAGGCATGCTTGTTGGAGCTCCATGGTCTTTTGGACTAGAATAGCTAGGACACCCCACCACATCAGCTTGGACACTGAATTTGATTTTCACCATTACAGGATTGGTCTTGATTTGGTCCATGGGAAACCACGAGACAACAAGCAAGCAGGGGTGTTTGAACCAACCATAGTTAAAGTGAAGAGCCTGAAGTTTGCAACAGAGGCTGCAATCACCATCCTTCGGATTGATGATCTGATAAAATTACACCCAGAGAGCAAAGACGAGAAACACGGAAGTTATGAAAATGCTGTTCACTCTGGAGCCCTTGATGACTGATTGGATTTCCCTTTTATTTATAACAATGTTGGGTGCAATGTCTTAGCCTTGGGTGTCTCACATTAAAGCAAGCTGTCCACCTGGATTCCTGTCCTCACTCTGGCCCTCTGACTTCACTTTCTACTTAGTGTTTCACTGATTTAACAGGAACTGTCCAAGGGTGCTGGCTGTCAGGCAGCTCATCCTCTCTGGACACACACTGCGATCCCCATCCCACCTCCAATGCACAGGGCTGCAACACCACGGGTCCCACCCACTCTCTCCAGCGTGTGTAACAAGGTCACTAGAATCCTACAGCCAGATGCTCCCAGAGGATGACCCAGGGCAATGGCTCCTCCATCGATGTTGACCTACAGGGAAGAAGAATTTGAAGTCAGTCCTCTGGGCACAGGCTAACACCTGTTTGATAGTCCTCTCCTCAGTGTTATGCTAGCAAACCATCCTTTCAAACTCAACTTTCACTGAAAGGTTAGGAATAAGTAATGCCTGTGTGACACCTGCTGTCTCCCTTGTTTCTAGAATGTTCCACTGACTCTGATATGAATTAGTTCTTACTGTAAAAAGCAACATGGGTTGTACAAGTTCAGTGGCAAACACAACTTCACATTGGTTACCTTCTCAGGGTTTAATCCAAGTTCTTTAGCTATTGCAACAGAGAGAGCAGCATAGGCCTCATTGATTTCAAACACATCAACACTGTGCAGGGACCAGCCTGCCTTTGCAACCTACAAAAGAAAAAGAAAAGGAATTTGAGTTAAACCATTAAGAGTTGACAGCTACATGATGTATGGGACTTGGAAAGTGCTTCTCTGAAGTTAGGTATGCCTCAGTGGGCCCTGTCTGAAACAGTGTAACAAGGCGTGAAGAGTCTGAGATGGGCCAGCATAGTGTTCTCGTTTAGTGACTCCATAGTGTAGAGCTCTAGGCGCAGTGGCACACCTGGAATCTCAGCATTTAAGAGGCTGAGATGGACACCTATGTTTGAGGCCAGGTTGGGCTACAGAGCAAAGCTCAGTCTCAGAAGCAAAAGGATGCAATCATCTAAAATGTCCCTAAGGTACAAAGTCCAGACTGTCTTGTATGTGCACGTAGCACAACATTTTATTTTTAAAAAGCCTGAACTGGCAAAGACTGCGAACAACGTGTTTTACATGGCACCTGAGTTCAATCCCCAGAGCCCACACTCTAAGAAAGCCAGGCATGGAGATACCCACTTGCAACCCCTGTGCTGGGGAGGTTGGGGTGGAGAGGTGGGAAGGTTAGAGCTAGGCTGCAGCAAATGGGACCTGGTAGTGGGAACAATGAACTTGAGAGTGGAAAGGTTTGTTAAAGAGCAACACTGTTCACTCAGAAAAGCTAGGCATGTTCAAGTTAAGGTTGCCAGTGATGCACACCTCTAACCATCGACTGAGAAAGCGCTGGCTGCAGGAGCAGGGGTTTAAAGCCATCCTCCGGCTACACTGAATTTGAAAGCAGCCTGGGCTTCCCCAAACCCTGTCACACATGTGCCTGACAACACATACACGTTGCTAAAGAGACTCACAGCTTGCTTTATGGCTGGAATTGGTCCTACTCCCATAACAGAAGGGTCCACACCAGCTTGTGACCAGGAGACTATTCGTGCTAAAGGTTTCAGCATCCGACGCTCAGCATCTGTCTTCTTCATAAGAACCACAGCAGCGGCACCATCATTCATTCCTGTAAATAAGTGACCTGGTGTCTCCAGGGCTCCTTTCAGGTATGGACCCAGGGCTTCCTCCTTTTCCATCTGAAAGCATTAAACTACTGACATCTTGCCAAATGGTTCTGTTTGCTGTGATTCATCAGACTTCACAGTGAACTTAGAAATGGTCAAGTCAAATGTGATATCCATCATACATTATGACAGTACCCCAATAACTGTGGGGGTTTACAGGGATGATGAAGAAAGAAAACCAAAAAGTAAGCCTAGGCCTTACTGTGATCACAGGTACTGTGGGCTCCTTGAACTGGAAAAATAGGACTTGGATGAACATTCAGCGGCTTTCTTTTGTTCTCAGAGTGTCTCACTATGTATTCCTGGCTAGCCTACATTTCTCTAAGACCAGGATGACTTTGAAACCACAGAAATCTACCTGCCTTTGCCATTCAAGTGCTGGCAATACAGGTGTGTGGTACTCTGGAGTTTTTTAGTTTGGAGGTGGTGTTGGTGAGCATCCTGACAGGGTTTCTCTGTATAACATCTCTGGCTGTCCTAGAACTCAATTTGTAAACCAGGCTAGCATCAAACTCAAAAGATGTGTACCTTCTACTGCCTCCCAAGTGCTGGGATGAAAGGTGTGCACCACCATGCCCTGCTATTTACACTTTTCACTTGTATGTCCAGTGTAGATATCAAGAAAACAAATCACATCAGCACAGGTTAACCAACAATATGGAAAGACCAAGTGTTCCCCTTAAGCCCAGCTTTAAGAATCATTTTGTGTAGAAAGACATATTCACTTGGTAGACTTTACCAGAGTTGATATTTCCCTCAGTGCCCTTCAGAACTCACACCTGTTGCATTAGCAGATGTGACCGTTCCTGTCCCATCAGTAAGAAAGTAAGGTTTCAGCTTGCCCATGGCTTCAAGGTTACTCCCATGACGGGGAAACTCATCGACTTTCACTTCTGTAAGACCTGCAGAGAGCAGAACCAGTTACTTGGATTGAATACAGAGAAGGCAGAGTTCTGGGACTGAGGACTCAGAGTCAAGAGGAGTGACATTTGGAAGAAAAGGCTATTACCATTTTCCTAATTCCCCTCCAGTAGGAATTGCTAGAATGACTGCATGCTCTCCCAAGGGAACTCTTTGAGAGACACTCACCCTGTGTTACAACTCCACAGCCCTTCCTAAGGGCAGCTGTTCTCTGTATTGTATGGACACAGGTTTGTGTCATTGCATCTAGCTAGATACAACTGAGTGGGTCAGAAGTGGTGCAATCCACCTTGTATGAGCTGCACATCAGTGTCAGACTCTGCTTCAGATCATGACAAGTAAGCTAACAAGATGCTTCTTGTGAAGATCCCATGGGAGCGACCGGAAAGACTTTATTTAAACTGCATAGGAGAGTCGGGTCTTCTGTGAACCACAACCTGATGCTGCACTTCTCATGAAACCCATGGGATACACACTGCAGCTGGGGACATTGTGAAGATGACAGTTCCCCGTGTGTCCATACCCTGCTGTGTTGACAGTATTTTCCAGCTAGGTATGCTGGCACACACTTGCAATCCCAGCACTCAGCAGGTAGAAGCAGGAAGATCACCCAGCAGCTGGAGCCCAGCCTGGTCCACATAGTGAGCCCTAGGCCATCCAGGCTACACAGCAAGACCATGTCTCAGAACACAACACATCACCACCTGCCCTCCCCCATTCAAATGTATAACGCCTACACCTTTACAACTTGTAATGAGCCAAATCCACAAAGCCCTACACATCATCCTCACAGGTGTCATCCATGCCTCCACACAGGCTCATCGTAACTGTGGCCTCCTCACTCACCTTTTCTGGAAGACACCAGCACTGGCACAATCTCCTTGTCAAAGTGGCCAGCTTTCTGCGCATGCTCCGCCCTATTCTGGGACAGAACTGCAACCTTGTCCTGGGCCTCTCTGCTCACTTGCCATTTTTTGGCTACGTTTTC